GCCCCCCCCCCCCCCCCCCCCCCCCGGACTCCATGGTGGGAAAAATAGTGGTTTCCACTAAGTACTTCCCCTGCACTCTGCTGTGGAAACAATGGTTGTGCCCCAGAGCAGTAACACAGACTGGCTCTCTGATATGATGCAGGTATCCCTACGAAGAGCTGGAGAACCTGTCTATCATACTTGATGTCTCAGTCCATCTATGCTGTGACAGCACATAGATCCTTCTTCCCCAGCTTCCCTGCTCCATGCCAGAGCAGGGTATCAGAGGCCCTAACAGGCAGCCCAGCCTCAGCTAATGGCCTCATTGGCCAGACCTGCCCAGGGGCTCTGACCGGCAGTCTACCAAGGTAGCTGACCAGCTAGCTGGCCACTGTCTGGGTCACTGATTTAGCTGCAGGGGAGAGCAGCCTCCTGTGGACTTCCACCCATGAGGGCAGATGGCAGGCCAGCTCTCAGCTCTTTGAGTTGCAGAGTGATGGGGCTGGAAGGGAGCTCCAGAGGTCACATCTGGTCCACCCCCCTGCCTCAGGCAGGGTCAGCCCAGACAAACCAAATCTAAACTCTACATAAGACAGCTGTCAACCCTGACAGCACAGACCCAACCCTGTCACAGGAAAAGCAGGAGGACCACGGCAGCCAGTGTCCTGCTGCTATGAAATGTCAATATATGCTTGCGAGATCCCAGGTAGAGGGTCACACAGGGTAAAATTTCTTCCTGACCTAAAAAATGGCATCGGGCTGACCCGGAGCTGAGGGGCAAGACCCTCTAGCCAGGAACATCCAGCTTTGGTCCCCGCAGGAACACGGGCACAGCCCAGTCACAGCCCCATCTTTGGCTGTAGCCAACATGCAGTGCCTCTGTGGGAGAGGTATGCCTCTCCAATCCTGTGCTATCTGGTTTCCTGGCTCCTGACCCTACTGGACTCTGGCTTTTGGAAGCCCCCTTGGATCCAATAACTTGGTTTCTAACTGACTGTAATGCCAGGTGGACCCTCACCCCTGCACTGGCATCTGACACCTGACCCTGGCCTTAGCCTGTGACTCTGCCCCTGGAATTCCCTGTGGATCTGCTAATTTGGTTTCTGATTCTTGTCCCTGGACTCAACCTTCGATTTGGCTTCTGGCACCCATTTAGCTCATCTCAGCAGCCATGCCCATTACCTTGGCCAGACCAGGCATAACCACTGCCATCCCCTCTTGAAGGTTAGTGACATCCTAATGCAGTGGTCTAGCTGATGTGGAGGCAGAACACCATCGTCACACAATGGAGTTTGACATCTGGTAACTCAGGAGCTGTTTGAGCCTGTACGAAAGGATGACAAGAGCAGCTCCATGGCAAGAGCAGAGTGAAAAGCAGTGGTGGCTCCCACTTGCATTCAGGAGGCTGCATCCCATCTCTGACTGATACCCCTTGTGTAGCCAGCCTACTGGGTGCTTGGAAGCTGTGCTCAAGGGCCTCACCCTATCTACTGCCACAGGAATATAGTGGAGCATTGGTAGAAAGGCTGACAGAGACCAACCAAGGTGCATAGCCAGCGGCTGTCAAATGCCCAGCTGAGAGCAGGACCACGTTCTTTTTGTGTTTGGTCCCAGCCAGTTGCAGACACACAGGCTTCAGCTACACAGTCAGGACTGCTTCTTTCACAGCTCACCCAAGCATCATCCCCTTCAGCTCTTGGCTCTAGGTGTAGGCCATGAAGCTGCTCTATCTCCCTGCGGGAACAGACAAGGAATCCACTCACATTTCCCTCATCACCAGGGATCCCGGTTTTCTCTGGAAAAAGAAATATTTCCCAGTTGTAGGATTAAAAAAAGTAAACCCAAATCCATATTTTTATGCAATTAAAATGAGACACCACTATGTGTGTGTGTGTGTGTGTATCTGTATATTAGTAGTGTTTCATTTTAATCACAGAAAAATGTGGATGTGGGGTTACTTTTTTTAATCCAAAAATTGGGGATTTTTTTTTATCAAGGAAAACCAGGATCCCTGCTCATTACCCTTCCTTGCTTCTCTAAGCCAGAATCACATTTCCCTCCCTCCCCCCCCCAGAACAAATCAAAACTATTTCTGGCCAGTGGTAGAAAACCATCGCATCCCTTGGCGAGGCAAGAGACAGGATTGGCCTAAATGCACAATCCTATCTAAACTTAGCATTTGAATCATGTGAGTAGTGAGCCTGATGGTGTTAGCACCACCTCTCCTGGCTGCTGTGCTCCCAGGGTCAGAGTCACAGCTTGCCTTTTGGCAGATGCGTGCCCCCAGAGACCCAGCTTTTTAACAGCTTCCAAGTTCTGCGTGTGAAAATTTTCCTCCCAGATTTCAAGCTGGGATCTCATGCCAGACCCTGGTGGAACCAGCCAGGCCCTGGCTCCACATCAGTGGAAATGGGTCTCAAAGGAGCTGACTGCCCCTTTTGCCTCTTTTGAGTAATGGCCACTGGGGCAGTCTCCAGCACTTGCCTTTTGGTTCCTATCAATTAGTTAAGAAAAGGCTGATTTAAGCCTTGTGCATCTTTCATCCTTTAGCCAACCACGTGGCCAGCTTCAAACCGACGTTCATGAAGCTATTGTGAATGACGGGGTATTCTCTGCAGGATCTCTGGCCACCAGTCTCCAACAAAACCACCATGTCTGTCACATTGCCTGGGTGAGCAGCTCTGTCTCAACCCCTTACCTGGGGTGGGCAAGTACTGCACATACCACAATGTATGTCTGTGCCTAGCAGGGCCTGCTGTCTCATTCTCCCCATGGCCTGTAAATTGCCACACACCTACCCCTGTGTGCAAAAGGGCCCAAGAAGGTGCCTCCCTGGTATTCCCATGGCTGCTGCTCCTTGCTAGGACATTCTCAGGGCTGCTGCCTGGTGTCCCTGGGCAAGCATTCAACTGAGCTGTTGATAAATGGGTGCAGCATTCAGGGAGCTGGAGAGAAGCCATGTTTGCTGAATTTGGTGCTCATGAATTTGGGTATCTCTTTGAGACTTGTGCCTGGAGCAAGCAGAGAGGCTCCCTTCTACACAGGTTTCCTTTTGAGTCCGCCTTCCTCAAACAGACTGCCACAGGACATCAGGAGCTATGGGAATGGTGTAACTAGATGTTGGTCTGCGTGGCTGGGGAACGCAGATGAGGAGCACTTAGGCCAAAGAAGAGCTGAGCCAGAAAGAGTGAAAATAAGTGCTACTGCATCACTGTAACACAGGGAAGATAGTCACCTCCTGTTCAGAGAGACCCCGGTTCCATAACAAGCGTGGGGTGCAGGGTTGTATTCAGATAGTGAGACTATACAACAGGGTATTCAGACAGCAAATGGACCATCCCCAACTATATCACCCTATCCCTTTCCCTTCCCAAACTGTTGTGCTGCCTTCCACTCCCTGCCCTGTGTCCCTGCCTAATCCATGGCTCTGCTTTCTGCTCCCTGCCCAGCTGCCTGCATGCCACGCACCGATGCTGTCTGTACCACTTGTGGCACACATGCTGTGGATTGCCCTCCACTCTTCTAGGGGGCTGATGCCTGGGGCACGAGTGACGGCTGTGGATGAATGATACGGCTGAAGCAAACAGAGGGAGAATCAGGGCTCATTGAAAATAATCCTGAAAGAGGGGAGGAAACAACTAAACCTGTAAACACTAAGGATGAAAGACGAAAAGCCGGGAGGAAGCTTGCAGCTGAGATGATGGAACAGCTGAAAAAATAAGGAGCTGTAAGCAGAAGACTGTTTTCCTGCTCCCTGTGGCAACAACCTCATGCTTAGTCTTTTTAATTTCTTCTCTCAGGAGAGCTAAAATTCCTGGTGCCTGAGGGTCTACAAGGACTG